AAGGGGGAGGGAGGCGGAATGGGGTACAGCAAGGAGGGGAGGTGTTTGACTCCGGGGAAGGGGTGGGGGAGGGGGATTGAGTTATGCACGGCATCTTGGCCAGCTCATTGAAAAACCGGCCGCTCGGCACATGTGCCCCAGTGCCAGGAGGGAGACGCGTGGCTGTACTGGCGGCTCCGGGACCCAAGCATAAGGTTGGGTGGGGGAGGAGGATTGGGTTGGGAGTATGCAGTACCTCCTGATACTCCGGCATATCCGATAATCTGGCACCACTTAGGTCCCAAAGGTTGGTTTAGTTGGTTTTTCTTTCAAGGGATATTTTCATATGGAATTTGCTAGTTCAAGGATTATTAAATGAGGTATTTAAAAGAAGGCATTAAAGCTGGAGATGTGAAGGTTTAACCAGTTAACTGGTTAAGGTTTGATTGGTGGAGCTGAAGTAGCTTCCAGCCTGCTGCAGGCAGGGGCTGCTCCAGCCCTGCCAGAGGCCCACCAGGGACAGGGGCCACTCCAGTGTAGCCTCTGCCTGAGGTGCAGGGGCTACTCCAGCCCAGCCAGAGCAGCTTCTGTCTGCAGTGAGCCCAAGGTGCCTCACAGACAGGAGATGCTCTGACGGGGACACCGGAGTAGCCTGGAGCAGCCCCTGCCTGTGGCAAGGGGACAGGAGGGAGCATTCCAGCACAGCAGTGGGAAGGGGCCGCTCCAGCTGGGCTGAAGCAGCCTCTCACTCACCCTCCTTTAATAGGTTAACAGGTTAGACAGTCTGTTTAAACAGTTAGCCAATTAAACAGGATTTTACATCCCTAAATCAAAGCCAATCTGTATAGATTTCCACCGTATTATGAGTCTTAATATGGTAGCAACATTTATCGTCACCTTTTTGGTACCATGCTACACAATAATGACGCAATAGTACACAAACGCCCCCTCTCCAAGGAAACATCTTTGCTTTCAAGACAGTTTGGGAGGGTGGGGAAGCTTTCCCACCACTGACTCCTCAATATTACACTCCTGAATAAGGACTTTCTCCAAAGCACATAGAACACAATCCTGAGCCTTAGTGATCTGACTTTTAAAAAAGAAAATGTAGGAAAGGTGAAATCCTGTCACCAATTAAGTCAATGAGGGTTTTGCCCCTGACTTTTATAGGATCAGTATTACACCCAGGCTGTGTCTAGACTGCATCCCTTTTCCATAAAAGAGATGCAAATAAGACACATCGCAATTGCAAATGAAGCAGGGATTTAAGCGCCTGCCGCTTTTTTCCGACTTGGAGCTTTGCCGGAAAAAAGCGCCAGTCTAGACGCGGATCTTTCGGAAAATAAAGCTTTTTCCGAAATATCCCTTATTTCTTATTTTAAGGTGAATAAGGGATCTTTCGGAAAAGGCTTTATTTTCCGAAAGATCCGTGTCTAGACTGGCGCTTTTTTCCCGGAAAGCTCCGAGCCGGAAAAAAGCGGCAGCCATGTTTATGCAAATGAAGCGGGGGGGATTTAAATTCCCGCTTAATTTTCAATTGCGATGTGTCTAATTTGCATCTCTTTTACGGAAAAGGGATGCAGTCTAGACACAGCACCAAAGTCTTTTCCTCTTCCCATATTCATAATACTACAATTTGTCCAGGCGTTGGCTTAGGACAGTCACACACATCACTATGTTATCCATTTCTCTCCATGGACTAACAATAGCAAGAGTGGGCAATAATTTTTGACCAGGGGCCATTTCAGAAATTTTTGAAGTGGCCTCGGGCCGCCACAGAAGGGGCAGGGCCTCAGACAGAAGGGTGGGTGAGGGAAGTGTGCAAAGTCTTTCCTCCCTCCCTGCCACAGGTTTCCTCTAGGCACCTCCACCCCTGGTAGTGGGAGGAGACTTCTCACTCTCTCCTCCCTATGCCCAAATCAATCTGGGCTTGGGGGTGAGGAAAGTATGTGAAGCACCTTCTAAGCGCCTTTCACTCCTTGCAGGCTAAGGGCAGGGGCAGGGCTGGAGGAGACTTTCCACACTTCCCCTCACCCCTAGCTCCTGATTGGCCTGGGGGCGGGAAGGCGCATGCAAAGTCTCTCACTCCTTGCCCTATGGCGTGCGGCACTTAGAGTCAACTACCAGGGTTGACACTGAGCACTGTGCGCTTCCCAATCCCTAGGCCCTTGGCATGCTGGATCCATCCCATAGAGGCCCTTTTGCCCACCCCTAAACAATAGGGTGAAAGACCTTTGCTACACTGTGTACTTTTACCTTCCCCTTATAACCCAAAGGTATTTCTTCTGCAGAAACACTTTCAACAAAAACTCCCTCCACCCACCCTGTTTCCCTGAAGCAGCAGCCACATATCTGCAATACTTTGTTTCACTCTTCTGTCATTCTTTTATTTATAGAAGCTCTTGAACATATCAGCAGTGGCGGCCTGTCAATACAGGCAAACTAGACAGTCACCTAGGGTGCCAAGATAAATGGCCTTTGAGGGCTTTGGAGGTGGGGGTGCCGATCACGCGTTTCGCCTAGGGCGCCAGTTGCTGGCAGCTCGTCTAGGGCCGCTGCTGCATATCAGCATATTATAGCTTGTGGGGATGGATGTAAAGGTGCAAAACATGAAGGCAGAAGTGCAGTCAAGGGGAAAGACTTTCCTGCCAGAACTGATATTTGATGCAAGCTGACGATTTTACCATATGATTACTTGACAGTCCGCACCTTTGCGAAATATCCTGCTCAGTTTCTGACAGGGCACAAGAGTACTAACTGTGATGACAGAGTATACTTAGAGAGAAACTCTCTCTGAATAGCCAATTGCTATTCCTTCTTTGGTTAGAGTAATTTCAGTAAATAAGTACATTAATTTCTGTATCCACATACTACAGTTTTGGGCACTCTAGAAAGGAGTTTTGGCATTACCCTTATAGTGCAGTCCTCACTTCATCATGGTTATCACGATGAAAGTCAATTGAATGGCTAAAAGAAGTTTCTTGAAACAATCTACTGATAAATCTCTGACAGAAGTTTGGCAGGGAAATTGTTCTGAAGCTAATGGACACACCTAAGGGGCATAATGTACTTTTAGCAAACAAACAGCAAGGCACTCTGGCAATATTCTCCCTTTGCATGAGTTAATGAGCCTTCCCTAGGGATTTCTCAGGTTCCTATGAAAAATAAGATATATCCTTTTCCTCACAATTATTTTTAAACACACTAGCTATCAAAATAAATACACCTAATACGTATGAATTTAAAATGTGCATATACTTTTGACATGAAAACTATCCTGCATGTAGTATGTTTTTCCAATGGGTAAGGCTCTTTGTCCCATGTGATTCTCAACCTTACTTTCACTTTCCTGCTTCCTCCTCTCCAAGTGTTTTTAGAAATAGAAAAAAAATCATAATGAAAAGTGACATCCATCAATTGAAACTTTAACAGATTTTTTTCCGAACTAGAAGGGACCACTATGACCACCCAGTCTGACCTCCTTTGTACTTTAGGCCAAATAAACTCACCGAGTAATGTTTGCTTCAAGACAACCTCCTCTTTCATAGACTAAATAGGGAGGGTTTTTTTTAAACTCTTAAATCATTCTGGTAGTTCTTTTCTGAACCCCTTTCAATTTCTCAACATCCTCTCTGAAATGTGCAACCCAAAATTGGACATGCAATTCCAGTAATGGTCTTACAAATGATCTATTTTAGAGTCACTACTGGTTCTCTACTCCTACTTGATATTCCTCTGCTTATACATCCAAAAACTCCATTTTCCCTCTAAGCTACTGCATTGCATTGGGAGCTCATGTTCAATTAGTTACTTGACACAAAATCTAAGTGCTTTTCAGAGTCACAGATGTCTAGGTTGACTCTAAGCGCTGCGTGCTCCTCCATCCCTACGCCCTGATTGGCCTGATTCTCCATCTTATGAATATGACCTACAGTACATTATTTGCTCCTAGTTGTGTCTAAAATGAGCGTGAGAGCTTACATTTATAACTCTGCTAGACACAAAAATCTGGGACTGACACAGCCACAACAGCACTGATAGCACATTGCTGACCCAATCAATTTGTGAGCCACTATAATCCCCAAGTCCTGTTCAGTAGTAGTACAGACTAGCCAGCTATTTCCAATTTATTAGTTGAGCATTTGATTTTTTTTCTTCCTATGTGTAATACTTCGCAATTATCTTTATAAAATTTCATCTTGTTGACTGCAGACCAAATCTCCAATTTGTCAAGGTCATTTTTCATTTTCATTTTCTCCTTCAAAATGATTGCAACATCTCTCAACTTGGAGTCATTTGCAAATGTTATAAGCATGTTCTCTACTCTACTATCAAAGTAATTAATGAAAATATGAAATAGTACTGGATCCAGGCAGACTCCTGAAGTACACAACTAGATATATCCAGGGATGATGGAACAATTTGTACAGTGGAGATGTCAAGAATCATTGAACCAAACTGTAAACCCTGTAAATAAGCCACCTAATTCACGCCAGAGGGCACTCCCCACACCCTAACTTCCAGGACCTATGGA